TACATGTAATAGATATTTTGAATAGTCAACTTTTATTTAGAGATGAAATTCATTCCCTTCCGTAAGGAGATACATCCATGGGGTAGGTATCAATAATTTGTCGATATATATATAGAGAGTAATTTAATAGTTTATACAATGATAAAAAATAATCAACAATTTTAATGACACGATTTATTATTTTGCAGATATATTCATGCATGGTTAGTAGAAATATAAAGATAATACAACCATGAAGTTTCACAATATGTTTGGTTAGAATATTTCTTAAGTGTTTGAATAAAGTAGACGTTTTGCCAAATGAATTAAGATGAATTTTGCAATACTATTGAATCAATAATGCTTCTTATGAGAACGTCAAAACCAAAATGAAAGAGAATGCTATCGAAGAACTAATGCATGTATAATATATATTAGTCATTATTTAGTTATTTAGTATTTTTGTTGGGGTTGTAATATGTTATTTAATTATTTTTACATTAGGACATCGTTAAGTTATTTCAGAAAAAATAATTTGTTTCTATATTTTGTTTCATTAATTTGTTTAACATTTTGTTTCATTCTTGCAAGGATATATTTAATAAATTAATTTGTTCTACATTTTGTTTCATTCTTGCAAGGATATATTTCATAAATTAATTTGTTTATTTTACAAAACTTAATCGGCAAAAAACGATTACATTATGAGCTCATTTGTTCTACGTTTTATTTCATTTTTGCAACGATATTTTTAATAAATTAATTAATTTATTTTACTAAACTTAATTGAGAAAAAACATTCGCCACCACGTGCATCGCACGTGCACTTTACTAGTACTACTCTAAAAGGACGAGTGTTTTTGTAAAAATATGAACTACCTAAAACACCCTTACTTTAGTATATTTTTAATGGCAAATTAATAATACACTAATATCCATCTCATCTTATTTTTTTAACTAATAACTAATATTTACCTAAAAACCTTTAATTTGACATATTTTTAATGTCAAATTAGTAATACACTATAATCCATTTAATATTTAATTAATCAAATACAAATTTATTAATTAATTATTATTAATTATATTTCCTTTAGTTGTGATACCGCGTTTATGTTATAACTTTAATAAAGTTATGAGCTGAATTACATTATAGTTGGTTGAGTTGTAAATTAATTCATTATGTATCTTTCTTCTTTTAATTTTGTTTTCTTAATAGGGAGCATGATTAAAATTATGAAAATTGTTCCCATAATTTTTGTTAGACATCTTATGCTATATGTTTTGAGATGAGGCATGTGTCGGGACAATGGAATAAACATGGATTTGTCTATGATTCTAACAAAATATTTTAATTAGAATTTTCATTAAAAATTCAAACGAGAGTAGTAACATTGAAAATTTCGTTAGAATTGGCGTTGAAATTCTGTTGTAACATGTTTTCATTAGAATTTATCATATTTCCTTTAGTTGTGATACCGCGTTTATGTTATAACCTTAATAAAGTTATGAGCTGAATTACATTATAATTGGTTGAGTTGTAAATTAATTCATTATGTATCTTTCTTTCTTTTAATTTTGTTTTCTTAGTAGGTGGAGCATGATTAAAATTATGAAAATTGTTCCCATAATTTTTGTTAGACATCTTATGCTATATGTTTTGAGATGAGGCATGTGTCTGGACAATGGAATAAACATGGATTTGTGTATGATTCTAACAAAATATTTTAGTTAGAATTTTCATTAAAAATTCAAACGAGAGTAGTAACAATGAAAATATCGTTAGAATTGGCATTGAAATTCTGTTGTAACATGTTTTCATTAGAATTTCATTATTTCCTTGCAGTAAAAGTATGACTCCAAATCAAATTAAAAAATTTTACATTATATATAATATTGTGTGTAGTTAATTATTTTGAAAATTGTTGATAATGATACAAAATATAACTCATTCAATATAATTATCATTTAATTTATGATAATTAGTAATTTTTTCAAAAAAAAAAAAAGATACATCTAGGTTTAAAAGTTCTTAATTATTTTATTAGTATTATAATAACTAAACAAGGTGTAAGAATGATGTTCTACGTAATAAAAAATTAAGACTACATAATGAGAAAGCTTATAGCTCGCATTCCATTTAAAATTTTAAAAAAAAATGACAAAATTAAAAAATGTCATATATCAATTGGAGCTGGCAAATGACAAATGTAAAACATACTTAAGATGCACACACACACACACACACACACACACACACATATATATACATATATTGTATTAGAAATCGGTAAGTTATTCTTAATTTTTTTAGTTAAAATTTAAATACTTTGTACATTAAAATTTTCAATTTAAAAATAGTTAATATTTTTTTATTTGTTAACTTTTTATATATGTAATATATTACATTATTTCTTTTCAAAGATGTTTGATTTGACCAAGGTACTGTAAAAAAAATTAAAATAATATAGTTATGTCTATTGATATAAAATAATATATATATATATATATATATTAATACCAATTTAAATAATAAATGGATCTAAAAGTATCTTATAAAATAAATTATAGATCCATGTTACCTCAATTTTATTAATTGAAAAATAACATTAGATAAACTTGTGGTATATTTTTCTTACGTATATTTGAAATAATTATACTAAGAAAAAAGTGTAAATTGATGTAAACGGACAACTATTACCAACATTAACGATGAGATGAAAGAAAAAATAAATGAGTTGTGAGTTAAACTATTATTAAATTACTACTTGAAAGAGAACACCATAATAGTGTAAAATATATATGTTTTTTTTTTTAATATGAAAATGAGTTAGTTACTTAATATTTTATCAAAAAATATAAAAAAAAAATCCAAAACCTTTTAATCATATAAACATATAAAAGTACATTTTTATCAAATGAATTATTACTATCAAACACGTTAAAAAAACGCAATGCATATAAATATCTCTAATTCTTTCAACAAATAAAATAGTATTTGTGAATAAAATTAAAAACAAACAAAAAAAATAGTGTAATGGGGAAAAGGAAAAGTCTGAATTTTCTTAGAAAAGTATGAATATCAATATCAAGAAATAAAAATCTTTTAAAATTACTACTTTTTCTTGTTGCTAGCATTTAAATATATGTTCTCTATAAAAATGGTTTTCATAAATAATGATTCTACATTATCATAATATATAGACCATAACTTTAATAATGACTTCATAATGATAGAGTTCACAGATGACTAAGAGTATCATAATATAATAGAATTCAAATTCTTCTCACCTGAAATATTTTGACAAATTATATGCTTCTCAATATTGCTCATTGTTTTTTTTTTTTATTATTGAAGAATCAAGAAAGGATCTTTATCTTGATTTTTCGAAGCATTATGTATGATGCAAAAAGTTAGACAAGAAATGCATTAAATAGTTATTAGACACATAAATATAGTAAATTCGAACGAGTGTCAAGGGTATTATGATTAACAACTCTAAAATTATTGCAACAACCAAAAAGTTTAATGATTTTCAAATAATAGATTATGTAGTTCGTTTATCTTTCAAATAAATAACACTGAAAATGGAATATTTGATTTTGGTAAAAAAAAAATTTATATGTTTGAATAAGCTGTCACTTTTTTATAAGAATATTTAAATCTTATATGTGTATTGTGCTTGATCATATGCGCAATTACTTTAGAGTACGTACTTTTATGTAATGTGTGATGATTTTAAAAAATAATTTAGTGTTTCCGGAGAAGTACATGATTTTGGAAAGACAACTTTTATTTAGAGATGAAATTCATTCCCACCCAATGGGGTAGGTGCCAATTTGTCTGTATGAAGAGAGAGAGAGAGATAGAGAGAGTAATGTAGTTGTTTATACAATGATTAAAAATAATATCAGGAACTTTAATAACACGGTTGGTTATTTTACAGAGATATTTATAAACTTAAGTTTAAATACCTTATAATGATCATACAATCATGAAGTTTGACTATATGTTTGATTAAAATATTTCTAAGTGTTAAATAAAGTAGACGTTTTGCCAAATTAATTTAGAAGAATTTTGCAATACTATTGATGTATTTGACTCTAACGAATATGAATGTTTATTATGAGAACGTCAAAACGAAAATGAAAGAAAATCACTCTTGAATCTAACATAAATAAATAAAAGAACTCATGCATCTATAATATACATTAGGTTCTTATTTTGTTATTTATTTTTATTAGGGACTAATTTTTCATATATTTTTGTTAGGGTTGTGATATGTTATTTAAATCTTTTTATGTTACGACATCATTATGTTATTTTTAAAAAAAATACATTAGGAGTTTATTTGTTCTACATTTTATATTGTTCTTGCAATCATATGCTTAATAAATTAATTAATTTATCTTACTAAACTTAATTGGCCAAAAACATTCGCCACCACGTGCATCGCACGTGCACTTTACTAGTAACATTTAAAAGTATATGTTTATAAAACAACAATGAAGCCTCAGACGAGAACAACTTCATTCATTCAGAGATTAACACACTTGTTCGAGCAGATCAGTCCATTTGACTAATAATTAGGATTTGTATTTTTAGTTCCGTTACGGGGATAGTTCCGTCAATATTTTTTACCATTGAATACACATGTAGATTATGTTGTATAGATAATCTACGGTAACAAACACTGACAGAACCATTCATTCCCTTTAGTCAAATTCCATTCTCCTTTTGACCGTTTNTTTTAGTGTAACTAGAAAGTGAGAGCTTGGACCGACATTAATCAGGCTCGTAGAATCTAACTGGGCAACTCATCATTTATATTGTTAATTTCGTCAACCAAACCGAAAGAAACACCATACATCACGCCGACAAACTTACTATTAATTTCCTTAATCAGAGAACACATAATTTAAGATAAATTATGAATGAGTAGTAACAGAAATAGGCTTTTATTATAAATTATTGATGAATATAATTGTAACTTTTCTGAGGCATACATCATCATCATCATCATCATCATCATCATCACCACCACCATCCAGTAAAAAAGCATTGATGAATTGTAAGTTAATTAATGAGTGGAGTTGAGAGAGAAATAGCTAGTATTAATATTGTTGAGTTGGGGCAAAATAAGCCAATGACGCAACGATGGCTGCATTGATGTAAGTAGCGGGCTCCGATTGAGCGTCGTCCTCCCTCTGGTCCTTATACTGGTCGTTGGAGTCGGGACCTCCGACAATGGCACCGGTCAAAATGTTGGGGTTGGGACTCGACGAGTGGAAATACTGTTGCATCCCATCCCCACATCCAATGTGTTGTGGCTGCACGTACATTGAAGGCATAGATGATCCCCTGTGGTGGATCCTCTTGGGATAATTTGTACCATAACCCACCATATACGACATTTTCATTGGATTCTCGCCTAATATGTAGTCCACCTATACATAATTTGTTATTATTACAGACAGTTACGTTGATGAGGAAATTAATTAATCACAATTAGTTATTATATCATATGTCCGAAAAGAAATTACTAAATTGTACGTACTTGTGTTTTGGCTAAGTTCCGGAGATAGGCCGGAGTGACTGTGTGGAAACTTCCGCAGTCGAACGTGTGGTGAGAGGCCTTCATGTATTTCGCGTATGTAGTAAGCAATAAAGTTGCTGAAGTTACATACTGTAGATTGCTTGCACCAAGCTTATACATCAAACCTCCTGCATTATTATTTTATTCAAATTAAGTATATATATATATATAACAACTAGTTTTAAATTAATTAAGGCGATGGACTGACCTGGTGTGTATTGCGTAGTCGATGATGGAGAATTAGGCATTATCTTGCACATGAAGGCTTCTGCTTTCTGACTGTAGGGCGCAAAATTCTGATCCTTACCCACCAAATAACGCTGCAAAAATTATTAAGTGAAGAGCGCGAGCGAGTTTTTAATAATATTATATATGTATCGACCGACTAAGTTAACCAGCCGGCTGGCCGGATTGCCCTGTCTTACTTACCCTTGCGAGGAGAACATCAGCACCGGCAACTTTGTTGTCCCAGCTGAAAAGGTCCGGTGGATCGTTATCCCCTAATGATTGAATCAAATCCAAATATTTGGCATCATTAGTTGCTCTGTGCAGCCATGCTGCTCCCCATATCAGCTCATCCTGCACCAATAATAAATAATTCATTGTATCCTTGAAAAGAAAACAACAACAACAACAACTGATGATTTAATTTAAGAAAAGAAATGACAATGGGCGCCGCATTAATTACATTGTATCCCGAATATGAGCAATAAAACGGGCACACGTAATTGCTGAGGGAATCGCTGTACGCTCCTGGGTGGTCCACAGCAAACTGCATCACGTTTTTCGCCATTTGCAAAAGCAGCCTGCTGTATTTGAGATCGGTTTTCCGAAAAACCATTGAAGCAGAGGCCATGGCAGCAGCCATTTCAGCCGCCAAGTCAGAGCCCGGTTTTTGGGGTGTTACGTAATATGCAGTCCTATCCGTGTCCATGTCTTCTGCCCTCTCCCAACATGTGTGGTCCTTATATGGATCCCCAACTCCCGCGTATAACTTGCCGCTACTATTCAGATGCTGAGCAGATTTGAGCAGGTACTCCGTGCCCCACCGGATTGCACCCATTGCCTTGGGCAACTGGCCATTGGACCTCATTTTGTTGCCGTTCTCAATCACTCCCCACGAAAGCACGGTTATCGTGAAGGCCATCGGGAAATTGAACTTCACGTTATCTCCCGCGTCGTAGTACCCTCCGCTCAAGTCCACCTGTTAGTTAATTAAATAATAAAATATATTCTTGTAATAACATTATTATTAATTCGATATTTGTCGGTTACGTACCCCATCCGACTGACCATCGGTTAGTGCGGAATCTCCCCTCCAGTGGAGGGCTTTGTCTTGGTCTTCAAGTTTGCCGGACCTCTGGCCTTGGAAAAATAAAATCGATTTGGCGAGGGCATCACGGTAATCGTGGCTGCCTCCTTCTACATTTATTATTGTGACATGTAATATTAATGATAAGATCAGTACAAAATGTGAGCCTTTCAAAAATTTTGCTGCAGCCATTGCATTACACACTGATCAATTACCACATACATGGGTTTTTATACAAGCCCTCAGCTGAGAAAATATGGATAGCTGAGAAGAGGACGTTAAATTAGGCTTCAATCTGAAACCATGCGTTGAATTTTGCAACTCAACATTGCACCAAATTCCATCCACCTGAGTAAATTAATAATTAATTTATGTTGACTGACATGTGAAATAGGACCTTTTTTTTTTTTTTTACAATTTTTTCTGTCAACGTTCTTTTAATTTCAATTAGAATAGTATTTAGATAGCAATTAATCACGAGGCATACATATTAGAGATATGAAATCACTCCTATAATATATAAATGAAAGATTTTGGTTATTATAAGTGTCAACTTTTGGTATTTCATAATTGTATGTGTTAATTTTTTGTGCTTTGGATTATTCCATGTAAGTATAAAAAATTTATATAAGTTTATTAGACTTGTAAATTTTATTAAACATTCGTCTAACTAAAATTATTAATATATACTAAAAATTATTATTTTTTAAATAAATTTTGTATTGCATACCAAATCAACCTCACTATCTTTAATATTATTCATATAATTAAATAATACAAACTAATCATTTTTGCACAACACATCAACTTTAATTCACTATTCATCCACTCACATAATTTTAACTACCTATCATTTTCAATCATTTATCTCCTACTTTACATCAAATCAATTTTAATCATTTTATTTTAAATATTATTTTAATACATTCTTAAAATTCCACTAACAACTAATCATGCAACTTTTTTCAAAATTAACTATGATTAACCAAAATAACTCATTTTGAACAAATTATTTCATAAACAATCAAGCCCTTAAGATTGGTGGGCATCATTTTAACAATTTTCCAAAAAAGAAAAGTATTAAAAATATAAAATATTATTTTTTTTAGTTAAATATAATATTCTTAATTAAAAACACGAACTTTTGATGGTCTTAAAACAGTAAAAGATAGATTTTGCGCCTGACATCAATGAGATTCAAAGATTGATCAAATGTAGATATTTGGTTACTTTGTTAGTTTACTTTACCGGAAACCCCACACATCACGCCGTGAACAACAAATACCAATCTATAGTTTTGAAAAAATATGTTCGTATCCTAAAAACAAGATTTAGACAATCTGAGAATATGATTGCAATTTTTATTTTTTTTTAAACCATAGACAAGAGAATAGAGAGCATCATGATACTGTAGGTGACAAGTTAAAAATTAGAAGGATGCTTGGCTACAAATATTTTTAAACAAAATCCAAACATTTTTAATTCAATATTTTTTTAGCTCAACTTTAACCAACTTCACTATCATTAATATTATCAATATAATTAAATAATATCAATCAATTAATCATTCTTACACACCAAATCAACTTTAATTCATTCACTAACATAATTTTAATTAACCATCACTTCAAATCACCGCTCTACTCATTTTACATTGAAACGTAGGTATTTTACAATGAGTGCGCTCAACGTTGTTAGAACACAAATAAACAACTAGAATAGCGGAATCAATAAACCGAAGATTTAAAAACTCTTCAGGGAAGCGTCCCACTTCCCCTCAGAAGTCGTTCATTGATAAACCGTTTGTGCACACTTGTATAGTTTGGACTTACACGACTTGAACTCCCTTCTAGCGTAGCCACAACTACACACGATTCTATCAATTACTTCTCCGGCCACGTCCAGTGGCTTTAACTCTCGAATCCCTCGAGCTAAAAATAGTACTCAATTCCTAAGCACTGATCACAAAAGTGTTTGAATAAAACAAAGAAAAGAAAAAAAAACGACTTCAGTTCTTCGATATGTAAGAACACCGAAAACTGAACCGAGAACTAAAATAAAAGAAGACTTGAAGCTCGAATAGTATGTGAATAATAATGATCTTCAAGTAGGGTATATATACAACTCCTTAGGCTTGGAGTCTTCTCCAAGTTTTAGACTTCTTTTCCTTTTAGGAGTCGATTTCCTTCTCAATTGATTCCTTTCAGATCTTGGACGAAATCCTTCATGTAAAGTAAGTTTCCTTGATGTAGAATTCGTGTATGTAATTTGGAGATCTTCATGATTAAGTTTCTAATGGAAATCTCGTGTTTCCAGACTCTTGTAAGATCATAACTTTCCTAAAATAACCGATCTTCCAAATATTCAAAGATCTTGTGGTGAATCTTTCCAAATCCTTCTTAGAGCTTCTAGAGAACGTCCAGAATTCTTCTTGTGTACATATCTCATCCTTTCATTGTCCTTGCCACCTATTCCTTGTCCTACAAGAAAGAGAAAACTAATTATGGCATAGAATCAAGCTCATTAATGCATGTGGCATATATGGTAAGTAAATATATAAGATATATATTATGTAATCCTTCTTCTAAAGGTTTAAGACTCCATAATACACATTATAATAAATATATAACATATATTATTAATAATAAATGTTGTAGTTTTATTTTACCAGAGTAATCAAAAGATTCGAAGACCGGGTCGTGTTCTCAAGGAAGGTTAGTCGGACTATTTTGTACGTTTATTCGATCACAAAAACAAAAATAATTCTAAACACTCTAATTCGAGTTGTTGGTTTGATTTTTACTAATAATTCTTAACTAGAACAATTTAATATCGCAACTTATAAAAATAATTTAAAGAGATATAAACTAGCTAAAATGATGAAGATAATTCCAAGAGATGTAAATGACTAGGGTATCGGGGACAATCGTTTTCGGTTTTACATAAATTTGACGGCAATCAGCTACTTGGTTAAAAGGCTCGATTAACTAACTCATTTAGCGGTTTATCCTCACTAATTCTCGTAATATGCGGAAAAACATAAAAGAGTGAATTAACGAGACAATCAACACATAGACAATACGTTTCCGAACATGTCTACTCTAAACGAGCCAAATTCTACCAATTTCGCCCCTCTCGGTTTTGAAATCGATTGTATAGATTAAAATGGTGATCAAGTATTCAATCATAAAATAAGTAAAACTCGCAAAGATTGAGTAGTTGACCTATACATAAACGAAAACGAACCGAACCGATTATCCCCTAACCCTAGCTAGAAGATTAGTTATTCATCATAAGTTCAACATAAACATTCACATACAAATAAACCATTCTCAACATCATGAAATGAAGGAAATAACGTACTTGATAATGTGAAATCCAAGAGCAAATGCAAACTTAATCTTCAATACAACAATGTTCTCCAAAATCAGATACAATCTTCCAAAAACAAACTTAGGAAAAGTAGAAGAAAAATGGTAAAAGAAGTAAAATAATGGTAAGGAAGATGAAGGTGTGTTTCCATGATCAAGGAAGCATGTTCTTGTAGCCTCCAATCCCCATTTTCAGGTGAGTGTTGTCCCCTAAGTGCTCCACTACCGAGCTCTTTCCAACTAATTCCATGTGTGGAGGAAAAGAATTTCTGTGTTGCTGCCAGCCTGGGTTAGCGGCGCTAACCCTCCATAGCGTCGCTATGGCGCCGGTGTTAGCGTCGCTAACAAGTCTTAGCGCCGCTATGGCCTGAGTGGATTCCGTCTCTGGCTTCGTTAACATTTGATAGCGCCGCTAAGGATCCAGGCATAGCGGCGCTAAGCCCCCAGAAACTCCACTTTGTGATTTTTCGAGCCCGTTTCAACTCGGCTAGCTTGTCTCGGGTACTTCTCGAGCTGTATATCCCGAAACCTGAAATCGCACCACCGGAAATAATACGAAAAAAAAAAAGAAAAGTAGGAAAAACACAACAATAATACCATAAACACCAAAATAACAATGAGAACACACAAAATGACTAAACGGACCGGAAAATCCTAATAACCCACCTAAAACGGGAAAAACGACCAATAAAATACCAATAAAAATAACAACAAAAATGAGACAAACAACTCCCCCACACTAAAACCTTTGTTCGTCCCGAACAAAAAGAAAAAGAGAGAAAAAGAAAACACACAAATGAGCAAAGATAATGGTTTCAAGCAAAATTAATCTCAAACGAATCAATCAACCCAAGAAGAATTCAAATGATCATAAGAATACACCTCAACTAATAGCTTGGTTATTTTGAAAAACATACTCTTAAGTACGAAAATGTATCATGTATGCCTCACTCAATTTCATTTCTCAAATATAAACGGTACACTCAAATTGGTCATCAACCGAATCAATCAAGAGTTTGCCTATCGTCTAACCCTTACTCTGAAATAGTCAAATTTAATGCAATAGTGAAACAAGAGGACTTTTTAGGACTGTAACGTAGGCTCTTTGGACCGGGTAGGATAAATATAGGCTAAGTGGCTAAATAAAAACCAAGTTCGCTCAAATCATTCACCTAACCATAAGCATAAACGTTTCCGGTTGTCAAATAACCAACCGTTTCCTCTCATATATTCAAAACCCATACGCCACCTTCATTATTCACAATCTCTTTTCTCCTTTTATATATATATATATATATGATGGGTCTACTTCTGGATCCGGAGTAAACCGGTGGTTGTGAGTTCAGATCTGCTTGAACCGCCTTGAAACCGTCTCTAGATCGCAAGAATATCTGCAAAAACTCAATGCCGGAGGTGTTTCCGGCGTAGAGCCTCCGACGCTCAAGTCAGTATGAAGAAGGGCTGCGCAGCAGCTATAGGGAAAGTGAGAATGAATGAGAGTTAGGGTTTAGGGTTACCTCATCTCCTTTATATAGGAGTGAATACTTACGCAGAGTACCCAAAATACCCCAATCGGTGGACCTAGAAGGTCCAAAATGCCCCGGTCGATTCGTCTCCCCTTAGTGCTGAGTCACTGCTAGATTCCTTCTTATCCTTCATAATAGGTAGGATTTCAAGTGTATTACAAGTGTGATGAGTCGTTGTCATATCTTTGTTACTCGAGGTATGTGGAGTCGACTTCGAGATCTAAGAAGTCGACTCGTGGGTATATGCGAGTTCGGAGGCTACGCTTGACTAGTTCTTTGAGGCGAAGTCATCTTCAGAGAGTCGTCTTAATTCTAAGTCGACTTCTTGGGGTCGACTTAGAATATCCAGATGAACGGGAGCTGTACTCTCGTTGTTC